GGGGGAGGAAGAACATAGAAAGATTATGGATGCTGCAGATACAGATATGCTCAGCTAGTTACACAAATTACACCTTACAAATGAAAATGATAAAAATGGAATAGCAAACCAGTCATCTGTAATTTTAATTACCTCTGTTTTCAACACCTTTCAGAAAAGTGTTACTGCTTAACTTACATCCATCTGATAATCAATGGAAGTTGCACATGCATTGTTTCTGTTCCTTTTAGGAGATGGGAGACCTTCTCCTCCACAAGAGGATGAAGACCCTCCAACACAAACGAAGGGACTGATGAAAGAAGTACCCAATTCAATATAAGGCAGAGATGGGGGCAAGGTATTTTGGACAGGTTTGGAAAACCAATCTGTTTGTATCTATCAGTACTGAAATCTATGATATATCAGACATGCAGGTCTTAACAGAGTGCAACTTCATCATACAGTTTGATTCCAATGTTCAACAGTGGGTCATGGGAGACTGCAACACACAATTACTCTCTGGAGAGTTACCCAAAGCAGAATTGTTGAACTAAGGCACTATGAACAGACATAACTACAAGTGCCACTGCACATTTAAGAAATCCTGAAATGTCAGTGCAAAGATTTCAGAAGTGCTATCCTGTGAAGCCTAATTCAAAGTGCCATGTATGTACTGCTGTCCAAACAGAGCTTCTGCATGATCAGGTACTTCCCTTATCTTCAATAATTGGGCAACTCTGTGAAGTAAGGCCTATGCTTGAACTACTTGGCCAAAACTGCTTTTGGTCATTCCCTCTACACTGACGCAGCCAAGAAATTACTTTACAAATGTATAATGTATTGTGTCTTGTAAAGAACAATTGATTTACATCTATATCATACACTGCTACATGTTAATGAAATGAAGGAACCAGGATAATCTTTTGTCTTATGAAGGTTAACTGCCCAGAATGTGGATTTAATGGAATTTCTCTCTAGCTAGATCAACAATACAGTGGAAATAACATTTAAAAAGGAAGAGAAAAAACCCACATAGAGAAGGACTAACACAGAAAATGTACAGCATATTGGAGGGGGATTCTTCTCTGATGCTGAAAAAGGCCATTCTTTCTTAGTTCTTAGTAGAAAACATCAGTTCTTCAAAGAAGATGACATATAGCTTACTGGGCAGCTGTTGGAAAGCTTATGGCAAATACTGAAGACATACATTTTCTTCTCGATGCCAAACATTTGATGGATTTTGGATGCTCAGTGAATAAGAGCATAAATGTTTCTCACAATCCTTAAAATAGATGGTTCAGAAATTGTTGCAGAATTAATGTGATGTAGATGGATCCTTAGACATCATTTTAGATGCCATGGCTCAATGCTATGGAATCCTGAGAGTTGTAGTTTGGTGAGGCACCAGTACTCTTTGACAGAGAAGGAAAGTACCTTGTAAAACTACAACTCCCAGGATTCCATAACAGTTAAAGTGGTCTTACATTGCATCAGTTCTACAGTGTAGACCAAGGTCCACAAACTAAGGCCCGTGGGCCAGATACGATCCTCAGCCTATCCCCCCCCCTTTCTAAATGTTAGACTAAAGGTTGTCCTAAGTCTGAAATGACTTGGAAGGCATACAAGGACAATAACAATCTTAATTAACTTGATTATCTCATCAGCCAAAAGCAGGTCCACACTTCTCATTGAAATACTGATAAGTTTATGTTGGTTAAAATTGTTCTCCATTTTAAATATTGCATTGTTCTTTCATGGTTTTTTGTACTACAAATAAGATATGCGCATTGTACATAATAATTAATTCGTTTTTTTCCAAACTATAGTCTGTCCCCCAAAAGTCTGAGGGACTGTGCACTGGTCCTCTGCTTTAAAAGTTTGAGGATTCTTGGGGTAGACCATATGTGTGAAACGCAAGACCCACGGGCCAAATGCAGCCTGCCATGTCATTTTATGTGGCCCACAAGACCTTCAATGCCAGGGCAACATACTTACATATATACAGTCTTACAATTACAAACAGCTCTTTGAAGGCAACCCTAAGGCTGATGTGACCCTCGGTGAAAATGAGTTTGACACACTTGATGCAGAGGTAATCTAAGTCATCTATGTATTTATTTACGACATTTCTACCCCACCTTTCTCCAACTCGAAGAGGACTCAAGGCAGCTTTACAGCCAGGTAACCATTTGATGCCTTCAGAACAATGTGCAACTAAAAAAACCCATTTAAAATAGAGTCATTTTAGAGTCAAAAAGTGCTGTGAATGTGTATGGAATCCATATCTAATTAATTACAGAACATAGGGGGCAAAACAGATACAGGCGAGAAAGCAAAAGTACATCTCTGCATGCTGACTACCATAGGGCAAAACTGTTCAAAAAGAGTCTTGTTAGTTATCATGTCTGGGAGGGAGGTCAAAAGGGATGCTCTGGCCTCCCAGAACGCAGCAACCAGAAGAGAGACTCTGGTAGGGGTCTTTAGGGACAGTTTAACAGATACAGCCTCCTCAGTTGAAGAATCTATAGTTCTACTGGTAGGAGAAACTAATAGGTGCTTGGGAGCTGAAATGACTACAGATAAACTGATGGAAGTACTTTTAAGAATGGAAAACAAGACAATACTGGGTGGGCAAGGAATTGTGTTCAGATAAAATAACAAAATGATTTGCATATGCCTTTTGGGTTAGTGAGACAGATATATAAGGATTTTTAAAAAAATGATTGCACAAGAGAAACTGACTTCCCTATCCAAGAAAACCATAATACACTTAAATAATCCACTCCTGGAGATTTCCTAATGGCACTTTCTATATAATTAAATATTTAACAGTGTTAGAGAGATCCCAATATGGAAACAAATCAGAACTGTCAGGAAATGGAGGCGGTATATGAAATTCTCTCCCTTATGTTTGCACTGATCACATTCTCAAAACTCTGGGCAATACTTTCCTCTATGATTACGTCATTAGCTAGAGACAATTACAATATTTTCAGATGGAGGAACTGAAATGCATCTCTGTTATTAGCCACAATGACCAGATAATATATAACCTTCATATCTAAGGTTCATACACTCAGTTTGTATACTTCAGCTGTTTGTTTATAATATTCCAGCTATATGTTTTTTCATATTTTTATGAAAGCTGTGGGTAGGTTTGTATAGGGAAGTAATTAAGCAGGACAGTAATGAACAGTAATGATACACAAGAGCCAATGTAGTATAATGGTTTGTTGGTCTATGACTCTGGAGAACATTATTATTATCATCATCGTTGTTGTTATTATTATTATTATTATTATTATTATTATTATTATTATCATCTTTATTTATACCCCTCCTTTCTCCCCATGGAGACTCAGGGTGGCTAACAATCCCACACTAAGACAAGTTCAAAAAGTACAATACAAAAGTTTTTTTAAAAGCCAATTAAATAGCAACTGTGTGACCAAAACAGAACTAAAATACAATAAATACACTTAAAACTGCTTTTAATACTCATCCTCCTCCAATTCCATCCAACCTCCTCAACAAGGTTGGCATTCCCACTCAGCCATGAAAATCCACTGCACTTTGGGAAAGTCACACACTCAAGCCTCAGAGGAAGGAAAAAGAAAAACTACCCATGAAAAATCTTGCCAAGAAAGCCCTGTGATAGGGTTGCCCTAGGTCCCCATAAGTCACCAACAATTTGAAGACACAAAACAACAATCTAACACTTGCAACCTAAATTAACTGTCCTACAAGAAACAGGAAAAAGAAGAAATAGAAGAAGCAGAAGAAGAAGAAGGATAAGAGGAGGAGGAGGAGAATGCCAGAAACATACAGAAACAGCTGTATCTATTGATGGGAGAGTAATAGAATATATTGTTGTCAGACATGCATGTGCCGAATCAGAGTTTAGATATGGTTTTCAGCCACATCCTATATGGATATACTTATTGATTTTTGTAATAAAAATACAAATAGGAATTGGCTAGATGTTTACTAGAGAATGAAAAACAGCATAACTTGAAAACAAAGCACAATATGTACTCATATGTTGCCTCTCCATCTCATCATTAGAGTGATTGAACATACTTGACATAATGCCCTGAACTTTTGCAGAATGGAAATTATTAAGAGCATGTTTAGAGTTTAGTTAATTTCAGTAATTTGTGGCTTTCCAGTATCAATTCAGATTTTAAGGTTGCACTGACATTAGCCTGGGGGTTATATCAGGCGTACAGATGCATGATGTGAGGACAAATACATTTTTTTCCCAATGAACATAGTTTAATTTTTTGGTCATTATCAGGAACGTATTTGTTTCAAAGCACACCATGCTAGGAAATCTCATCCCTTAAAATTGGTGGTAGCAATTAGTTTTTGTAAAGCACATATACAATTTATTGTGGGTTTTATTATTATTTTTGACATCAATACAATTCACAAAACCCAATCTATATGCTTTAATCCTTTCTGACTGTACCAGCAACGCAAAGTATTACACACTTTAAAAAAACCCTAACTTGCCCTCCTGAAAAAAAATAATAATTGTGGAGCATCAGTAACCAGATAGTATTCTCAAATTTCAGTGATCTAGCCAGTGGAGCCTTCCCCCATGTACTGTGCTCTGTTTCATGTGGTACATGGTTTTAGCTGGCCAAATCTTTTCCCCCCCACTGAATCAGTAGAACAGTGAAGATCTTACTCTCCCTCTCTCTCTCTCTTTCTCGCTCTCCCTCTCTCTCTTTTAGCAGTGGCATATCAATGAGGCACAGATGTGTATTCCAACTCTGCATGGATGAGCACACTGTTCAATAGTGCTGGCTCACACGGTATCAGGGCAAGTTATCACTTCCCATGAAGGCACTCTTATCACCAGGGCCCAGAGAGGTGGCTGCAAATCGCAGCCTTTTTATTTTCAAGGCAGTTTTGCTGAACATTCAAGCTTCAAAGATTCACACTTCCAAAACTCTATAAGAGTTTGTGAACGCTCAATTTGCCAAAACTGTTTACAGTGTAATTGGGCACCGTACCTGTGTCCATGAGATAGCGAAGGCGCTTCTCCACCAGCGCGGCACGGGTGTCAATTTGCTTTTGCTCATTCTCTAGTGCTGCCAATTCTCCTACAACATACTGACTGGTGTCTTTGAACCCTTTCTGTTAAAGAGAACAAACAACAAGAAAAATACATCACTTGTTAAGTTGCATTTTTCCCTTCCAGAAACACTTAGTAAGGCACTTACCTAAATATCATCCTTGCTACCAAAACAGGAAACACAATTCATGATTCTCACCCTTTTGCCAAATTTTAATACAAGGCATGCTATATAATAAAAGATCATTCCTTAAAGGTTAGATTTCAACTTCAAACCTCTTCACTGACTTTTAAAATTCTATATAATTTTCTTTGGCTCCTGCTTTGCGATAAGTTTCCTACATGAGCTCAAAGAAGAATCCAAGTAAAGTATTTTTATAGCATAGTTATGAGAAGCATCTTTTCAACTGCAAGAGAGCCCAAAATATTATTTTATTCTACATAGCCACTGTGTTTTGATATAGATAATACAATATACCTTGGAAGAAAAACCAAAATTAGAAATGTTGAAAAACGATACATCGTTTAGAAACACCACTTTGTTTTTGTGGTTTTCTAATGATACCATCCTGGAAAGATAACACTAAAAACCTTTCCAGCTTGTTTTTTTTCTTTCGAGAAACATTTTTGGGTGCAGACAGATGAATGGCTAATTACTGCTATTAGAGTCTGCCCCCCCCCCCCGACTTCTAAGAATAGCGACAAAACTGATTTATAGTGCAACCTGTTCATCCCAAATTCACATGGACACAATTTTACATTGTCAAATTCTTCATATGATAAATGTTAACCAGAGTTTAACCAAAAAAGAGAGGCTGAAATAGAAAATGTAAATATTTAGGATTACTAATGTCAAACAATCAAGAAACCCAAATTCTTTTAAAGTTTTCATTTGTCCTAAAAATGTTGAATACTGCTAATGACGTCATATGGCTTAAATAAAAGTGTGGTTTTTCAATCTAGATAACCTATGCAGGCTCTTTTTCCGTTCATCATAACATACAATTCTGTGCTGGACCAGGGTTTAAGGAATCAGGGGATTTGAATGATGCTGCAGCTGAGTCCCTTCTTTGGCAGTGAAGAAGGGAGCTGAAGTGGGAAGGGAGACACACTTGCACAGAAGCCCCTGAGAGATTTACTTTGTAATCACCAATAAGTCTCTTTGCGGAGCCCAATCAAGACTCATCAAGTGAAGGTTAAAGCTCAGAAGCTCATTTTGGGAATTCAATTGTCTTCTGCAATCTAATCCAATCCAATTGTCTTTTCAAATGGAATGTGTCTGTACACATTACCTTTTGAGGAAAGGATAAAGGATATGGTGTCTCCTTACTGCTGCCTCACTTGTTGCTGGATTACATAGTTGCAGGACTAAATTATTCCACTACATTAATAGTGGCTGAATGAATTGGTATGGAATGGTGTTGCTGGAAACTGAGGTAAAGCTCGTTCAGTGGTAAATCTCCCTGAACCATTGCACAGTGTAGAAGTTTTAATATATAATATAGTAAGTGTTGGGTATCCATGGTTTATGGGATACGACCCAACCGCCATTCACTAAAACAAGCAGTAACACTTCGAAACAAAGCTTAATATGCTTGTCTCATTCCCTGATCTCTAAAATTAAATGCTGTTACGCACATGAAAGACGAACAAATGTGGGCGGAGCAATGCTAATGAAAGGCAACTACCATTATTTGTAGTTAATTGAAAGGAATACAAAACTTTGCCAATGCCAGCTCCCAGGACTCTACAGAACATTATTAGATTAAAAGGAATGCTATGTCAGGATGAAACATCCCAAGAGCTCCTATGTATAATTTGCATATATTATATTACAAACTTGCTGAGTAAGACCTCTTCAGCTCTGTCAAAGAACAACTGTTCTTAAATTAAAAAAAAAACTATCAGCTGGTAAATGTTAAGACAAGTGGGCATTTAGAATAATAATTAGGCAAGTTCACATTCTCTGGATGGTTTCTCAGCAATACCACATATAAGATAAATAGTGGACAGCATCAAACGGCTATTGTAAAAAAAAGCCTCCAGACAAAATAAGAAGAAAAAAGAAAAAAGAAGGAAAACAGAAATAAAACATATTCAGGTCAAAACTTGTTCTTCCTGCTTCTGTCCCGCAGCTGTCCATCAAAAGCTGCTTTCTCCCTGCGGTCTATCAAATATTTCCCTCACAAATCAATTTTACACATGATCAGCCCATACCCCTACTGAGCTGAACCTCCCCGTTAATTAAGTGAAGAAATTACCATATATATTATATTAATGCAAACATCATTCAGCTAGTAATTCACGGCTGATCTGGATAATGGAAAGGTTGAACACCCATTAACCCAAGCCAACAAAATGGGTTGGCTGAGAAATTCTAGCAGGTCTCATGTGACTTTTTCCTCTAACTGCAGCTCTGCGGTATCTGCTATTGTAATAATTAAAATCCTCCTGGTAGATCAATACTGGAATCTCTTTATGGGAAGTGCCCTGATGGAAATGTCTCAAGGAAACTGGAGCTGTGGAACTCTGAAAAATTCATTTTTTTATCTGACAATTATCACCACGCTGCAGACTAATTCAACAGCGCACCCCTCTCACTCTGCTTTGAATGCACTGGAGATTGACATCTAAGAAAACCTAACATCTCATTTTAACAAATAAAGGCACTATTTCCACATACAGTTGAGAATTATCAGCAATCGTGAAACCAGACAAAAAATTAATATACATTAAGCACTTCATCTTCTGATGGCTTCCTCTGAGTTTCAGTTATCGCTGCCTTCTCCTCATTTCCTCTCTTTGTATCTTCCTGTATTGATCTCTGCCTTTTCATCTCTTGAAAAAAAAAGAGAGGAAAGGCATGTAAAATTATTATAATACTTGATATTTGTGTATTGAAATGTGGACTTACATTATCTGGTTTTTAATATATTTATTGTTAAATATTATTAAATCATAGGATGGGGGAGGGTGCAGGGAGAGTTTTTTTTAGAAAATTTTTGCCTACCTGGTCTGTTTTCAACATATTGACTGAATGACTGAAGCTGAGTTTTTCTGACTGTAGAATCCTTGCTGAACACAACAGGATTTCTAAAACGTTCTGTTCCTTTTTGTAGCCTCTCAGCACGATGCTCTTCTGTTTCATTCTGCCATAAAATCAAAAAATGCACATCAAATCCATTCATTTATGAAAGTTATAAAAGGGAAAGATATCTTTCAGTAGGAACTTTTTGTTTATAAAAAGCCACACAGCTCAGCTCAGATAAAAATGATACCAGCAACCAGAATTTTAAAGAATATTTAGTAAAATTAAAAATTGGTAAGCTCAGGCAAGCTTCTACTACTACAGACTGGGATCAGTTAATATCTTTGGAAAAGCAGGATTCAAAAGAAGAGTACTCTTCTTTAACTGGGATTTGCAAGGCACAAGGCACTAATGCAAAAACCATGCAGCAGTGGGTGTATCTTTCAATATCATCAATATTTTTAAACAAGACAAGTTCTAACCTTTTGTTTACAGAGTTTGCCACAGTAAAGAATAGTAATCCTAAATGGATCCACAGACATGTAGGACAAAAACCCCATTTCTAATTTAATGCCCATTGAGATAAGCCACTAATGGTGGATGAGGAATAACGGGTAATTTTGCAAGACAACCACAACAACTACATTTCATCAGCTATAACTTTCCACATCTAGATTTGTAAGTCAGCCCTTTTCAGCCAAGAAAACAACAATTCCTGTTTTCCATAGCCTCCTATGTTAATACTGGTAACAAATTCAAATAGGTCTATCAACATGAAATATCCCAGAAGAATAGACCACTGTGGTGTGTGGAAACTGCAGATACCGAGGTGCTGTGTACCAAACAAATATTTCATTTTATACCTAATCTATTATTATTTTTATTAAGTGTTTTGAAAGTAAATAGGGAAAGGCTAAGATGCATGACTAATAGCTAAGCCTGCTGAATGCTGAAACTGGTTATCAAAAGCTACCAAGACTTTGCCCTTCCTCTGCATTGAGACAATTGGTAATGAGGGAGTTCTCCAATGGCCTATTCTCTAGCCTCAAGGAGGCCTGGGATACAGAATCCTCCAGGGAAGGTAACAGTTTATCCTTTTCCACAAATACAGAAAGCCTCATTTATAAACGTGTAAACTGCATTTTATTAAAAACACAAATCCAACTCCATGCTGAAAGCTCTAAGAGAACAGATGGGCACCACATATTCTCCCTTACAGCATTAAAATGTTTAGCTCGAGCTGCCCTTTTTGTGGCAAGAGCACAAAAAAAGCAAAAAGAAAATAAAACGGCCCCATTAATACCAAAGTGTATATTTAGAGCAGGAAGCAATGTTTCTGTCATCTCATCTGAATCAAACTGCTCTAATGGACAGCTATTTACTGAGTTAACTTTTAATTCCTTAAAGCGTCCCTCATGTTACAGTTGTTTTTCCAACCAAAAACTGCAAAGATTTGACTGCTCTAAGAAAATAATGCCTCCTGTCTCTTCATACAACAGCTATCTACAGATGAAACATAGGTCTTTACCAAAATAAACAAACATGGCTAATTTTTTAGGCCTGGCAACATGTTAAAATATCAGTGCGATTAGCGAGCAAATCCCATTTTAAGAAGCCTTTTTTATGACGAGGGACTTCTGCCACTTTACAAATGTATTCCTCTAAGCCCACTAATTCAGTTAGCCTTTTCAATCCATTGTATTATTCTGAGACCAGCTTCATTTTGCATTAAATCCACTGTAGAAAGCTAAATTGAACGCAAAAAATCAGACTTGATCCAAGCTTCCCTTTGTTCAAAGATAGAGACTGAAAGTCCTCTGCTGCTGCCACACACTTTCATCACCAATTTATCGGAACCGACAGTGTAAGGGAAAAAGCAATGAAAGTCATTGTTTTGGGACTTCAAAGCCTCTCTGTATCTGGGGAAGGAAATCCTTTCAGTCAGCAGCGTATATGCCCACCGCCTGCAGCAGGTGGGTGAAAAGTTACCCAAGAGTGGAGCTACCCCCACAGCCCTCGCAGTCTTTTCACTTAGGACTAATAGCCATGGACTAATGAAGACGATTAGCTGGAGGGTGTGTGTGTGTATACTTATATATATATCTCAAAATCTGTGTACATAGAGACAAAGACTGGACATGAGAAATAAGAAGACGGGCAACCCCCACCCCCAGTGTGGGAGTATTTTTTCGTTACCTAAGAAATATCAGACGCAAACATATCTTCCTAAACTTCTACCTCAAAATCATTGGGAAACTTTTTTTTTGTTCCATGCAATCGTCCAATTCCAAAGCAAAAGCAACCATTGTAGTGGTGAAAAGAAGCCTGAATGATGGCCTTGCTCTAGTTTATGTAAATGACTAAACTGGCTGCAGGGGGAGTAGGAGAAGGTGCCCCACTTCCTGTAACCTAATAATCCTGTTATTTAGGAAACTATGGTACAAATAAAAAGCATGAAAACAGTGCAGAGACACCACACACTTCCCATATGCTGAAGTCACATTTCTCAAAATGCAGGCAAATGTTATGATATAGTTGCACAGACATAAACAACACTTTTGAGCTGAACTTCATTGTAAAGCACACCATTCATTTTAAGTCTTTTCAAATCCAAAGGGTCATGACTGTTCCTGAATCACCTTGCCTGGGACAAAACACTTTGTTCAGAAACTTACCTTCAACTCTTGCACCATTCTGTCATCAAGGGCTTTCTGAGCAGCACTGGAAACTGAATTTGCCATCTGTGCCTGAGCTTCTAGGAGCTTCTTCAACTTCAGATCCACCAACTTGCTGTTCTGTTCAGCTAAATATGCAAATACCACAATACAGAAGGAGAGAGAGAGAGAGAAAGGGGAGGAAGAGAAACATGCATTTAGATGTAGAGGCCCTATAACAATGAATTACTCTAAGAGATTAAAAATACATTGCTCTAACTGTGATCTTTCAATTGGAAACTGAATACAGAACTTCCAGTTTTAAATGTGTTCTAGTACAGTAATAATTTGATTATTCTTTTGGGGGGAAAAAACTTTGTTTTAAAAAGTTGACTCTTGATGCCTGTCTCCTCATGCTTTTATGTGAACTTCACATATTATTAGGACCACAAAATGTTTTAGATGTAAACTTACTGATTTAGATGGAATGTAGGCCACATACACACAGATCCACTGTAGCTGTGAATCTGCCTCACAGCAGCCAAACACCACACAACGCTAATTCGGGATAACATTAGGCAAGGTTACTTTAAGGTTACCTTGCCTCGGGTTAGCCGAAGTCAGGGGGAAGTCCAAACTCAGAATTTGTACTTTCCCCCAATGTAGGGTTTATGGGGATGGTTTGACAGTTCCAATTGTCTTCATTGCCATCCTACAATTCCTGGGAAGAGGCGGCCCGGGGACATGGGATGGCAGCCTCCTTCTCCCTTATCCCCTGTATCAAGGTGCTCTCTGGCTGTGTCACTAGTCCCAGCTCCATCATGTCATCTGCCTGGGCATCTGCATAGATCGGTCCCTCTTTACAAATAAAATGATTTAGGCTTAACATGATCTGATGTTCACTGCTGCATGTGACAAACTCCCGAACTGTTTCTCTTGCTAAAATATAAAGGCATAACATTTTGTTGTTATTGCTGGTGTTATGTGACTTAAAACCATTTCTGAGTTATGGGGACCCCTTTTTTTTGGTGTCAGGAGCAACTTGAGAAACTGCAAGTCACTTCTGGTGTGAGAGAATTGGTCATCTGCAAGGACGTTGCCCAGGGGACGCCCAGATGTTTTACCATCCTGTGGGAGGCTTCTCTCATGTCCCACATGAGGAGCTGGAGCTGACCGATGGGAGCTCACCTTGCTTCCCAGATTCAAACCGTCAACCTTTCGGTCAGCAGTCCAGCTGGCACAAGGGTTTAACCCTTTGTGCCACTAGGGGCTCTGATGGTGACCCTAAGGTAGCTTTTTCTGGGGCTGAGAGTATACAACTTGTCAGGGTTTTCATGGCTGCGCAAGGATTTGAACCCAGTCTCCAGTCATGCCATTGCCTCTTACCTTAAATTAATTCCTACTGAATTCAGTTGAGGCTCTTTTATAAGTTAAAAAATGTCTGAATAGGATAATTTCATACATATCCCTCCATGCCTCAAAGATCTGCAACATTAAAAATCTACCTGCATGTTTGCAACAAACCAAACATGTGACCAAATGGACATAATGTTCATATTTTATAATGGAAAAAAATCAAGCTAGAAAAATATCTATGTTGGTAGCATTAAAAAATTAAAAAATGAGTAAACAAATATCACCTATAAGCAAATTTTCAAAGGAAAATAATCTATGTAGTTGGTGTCTTAAGTTAAGAGGACACTAAACAAAGTACATGCATAAATGAATCAATCATCAGGTAACAGCAATAGTTGAAAAGGACACAATTAAAATGACAATGGCAATAGAACTAAGTCTTCCAGACCTTCTTTCTTTCCATACCTAGGATCTTGCCTAACGGAGATGAAAGGGTTGTGTTCACAGAAAGCGCTACTACTCAATTTGGGGCGGGGGGGCAGATTAATTTCCCCTCACTAGTTCATAGCTTACCCCCTTCAAAAGGCTCCCCTGACCCCTCCAGAAAGTTGAAGAACTGCTGGGAGAAGAGTTTCCCTCCAGCATATGCATATGTAGAAGTCTATAACTAGAAATATACATCTGTGGAAGTACATCTATTTAAGAAACTGGCATAATTCGACCAAAACATTGGCATACTGGAAGCTGCAGCATTTGTACTGATTTTTCAAGACAGTCATAATTGATTTTGGCTGCAGTCCTACACATGCTTACTTGAGATGAAGCCTCATTGAACCAAAGCATAGTACACATGTATAGGGTTGTGCTATTAGATCATGCATGATCAAAATGGTAACTCAAACATCAATTTACAATCACAAATCAGATTACATGGAACGAGTATTATTTAGTGGTTGAGAGACTGAAATAAGTCAGGAAGTTTCTAACTCAAATCTCATCTCTGTCATGGATTTGTTAAAAGCGAGGGACCTGCGTATGGAGAGGGATTTTATCACAAAAGGCCAGGAAGATGTTAGTTTTTAAAGTTGTCATTACTGCATTTTAAATACCCAGAAATCTGCAGAGGAACTGTTTTTTGCACACAAAAGAACACCCATTACTGCCTCCAGATAGACGTAAAGATAAAGGTTTTTCCCTGACATTAAGTCCAGTCGTGTCCTACTCTTGGTGTTGGTGCTCATCTCCATTTCTAAGCCGAAGAGCCGGCGTTGTCTGTAGACACCTCCAAGGTCATGTGGCCGGCATGACTGCGTGAAGCACTGTTACCTCCCGCCGGACCTATTGATCTACTCACATTTGCATGTTTTTGAACTGCTAGGTTGGCAGAAGCTGGGACAGACAGTGGGAGCTCACGCCGCTCCCCGGATTCAAATCTGTGACCTTTCGGTCAACAAGTTCAGCAGCTTAGTGCTTTAACCCACTGCACCACCGAGGGCTCCTGCCTCCAGATAGAATTCTCCCATTAGGTTGTTGTAGGTCTCACTACCTCTGAGGATGCTTGCCATAGATGCAGGCGAAATGTCAGGAGAAAAATTGCCTCCAGAACATGGCCATATAGCCCGGAAAAACCTACAACAACCCAGTGATTCCAGCCATGAAAGCCTTCGACAATACATATTCTCCCATTAATTTGTGTAGGAGGTGCTAATTGCTGCTATGCCTTAGACAGCAAAATATCTACATGGGTCTGAAGAAGCCTATAGCATGTAATTAAAATACTTGAACTATTTAAATTACTTTTACAACGAAGTACTTTTCCTAGCACCTTAGGGCTTACCCCTCTTTTTCTGGCCACAGATATTCCACTCTCTCATTCTCAACTTTACCCCCTTGTCTCTAAATATCTTTGTGGTGTGGATAAGGCTGCCCTATTTTACAGGGCTCCTGAATGGACGCTGAGGCCATTGTTTGAGACACTAGAATCTCTATAAAAGTATTATTCTTATCTAAAGACCAGGTGTGGGGTGTCATATTTATCTTTTATTTCTTGTCTCCAGAATATAAGAGTTACAAGAAATTGTTCACAATTACAACCCAATTATTTCTTACCCGCTGGGGAACAACAGATTAAAAAACAATGGCAAATACACATACACCAGTTATAAGAATAAATACCAATTAAAAAGGACAATCAGTTGTAAAAATCTTAATATTAATACAAAAAGCATACATATTAAAAACAATAAATTCAAACACCATGGTTGAGCTTTAACCTTTCTAACTTCCATGTCTTGGCTTTGGTGTTGAAGTTTGTAATGGTCCTTTTATACTGTCTGTTGCTTCCTGCTATAATCCTCTCCCTAATCTATTACCCAAACAAGCAAGGTAGCAGTTTTGATCTCACTTGGAGTGTTAACGTCAGCAGTAATCGCTTTTCGCCATCAGAATGGCTTTCAGTATTGCAAAGGCAGAATAATTGCAATTACTATAAGTTTCTGTCAAATGTCCCATAATGGAACTTATATGAGGCATCAATACATAGTACTCAGTAAATAAATAAGCTTTATATTCAGTCCAAGATGTGAGAGTGTAAACAATTAAGACAAACTGATTATTAATGTCAGTTCTTTACTCATAATTCCCATGTGCCTAGTGATTTGCTGCCTTTTAAACCTTGCTGCATGTGGTCATGACAGGTGGGGATCCAAGGCTGAGAAGCAATTTGATCAATGTCTATCACTGATGTATAATTTGAGTCTGGAATTAAAGCAACACATGAAACAGTGATATACATTTATCCACTGACATCTAGACATAGATTTTCTATAAAAAAGTAAGAATATGGCTATTACTACATAGGTTACAGTTTGAGAGAGCTTGGTTACTATGGACAAACATAAACATGCCCCTGGAAAATCCATTATGAGAAAATCTCTCTATATATAATATACATAAATAGCAGTTGCAGTGGGGTGAAGGGAAAGGAAGCTGGCTTATGATGATGACACTAGAGAGGGAGGAGTTAAGCAAAGCTCAATTGTTCTGATTTCATAATGATCTTTTCTTCCTTCGTGCTATGATCTAATTCCCCTTTCCTTCCGCCTTCATTTTCTTTAAAAAAGGAACAAAAGAAAATAAGAAGATCTGATAGGATGACGTCTAGGAATCCTGTGATGGTAACCTCATACATTTAAACAGGAATATATGGACTTCATTCGGGGGGGGGGGACCCAAACAACTGCTGACTTGAGCCATTCAGTGCCAGACACAGAAAGTCAAGTCAGGAATTTCAAGGGTAACACTCCATTTATGGAATGCATTGCCCTACTTTGGCCTAAGTCATGGCCACTTTAGTGCCAAGTCTTTGCATCCTCCCAGACATTTTACATCTTAGTATACAATTATTTTGTTGGCTTAAAAAACAACAACATTGACTTCTGATGTTGCTGTGTTTTTATGTTTTGCTGTTGGTTTTATCTCGATTTTTTAAATTAATATATAGCACTGAATTTATTATATAGGACAGAACACTTTTCAGTGAGTGGTCTACAGCTATAATATATACATACAAATGTGTGTGTATATGTAAGTCACCTGTAGACTTCTGCAATGCTATGAATTTCATAAGATTTCTTAGCCAAGAAATACCCAAGAGCGGTTTTGCCAGTCCTTCCTCTAATATATAACCTTCATCACTTAGTCTTCATTGATAGTTTCCCATCCACCCCGGTGGCACAGTGGGTTAAACCCCTGTGCCGGCAGGACTGAAGACCGACAGGTCGCCGGTTCGAATCCGGGGAGAGGCAGATGAGCTCCCTCTATCAGCTCCAGCTCCTCATGCGGGGACATGAGAGAAGCCTCCCACAAGGATGATAAAAACATCAAATCATCCAGGCGTCCCCTGGGCAACATCCTTGCAGACGGCCAATTCTCTCACACCAGAAGCAACTTGCAGTTTCTCAAGTCGCTCCTGACACGACAAAAAAATAAATAAATCCAAGTACTAACCAATGCCAATCTTTCTTAGCTTCCAAGATCAGACCAAATCTGGTACCTTTAGAGCAGGGGTCCTCAAACTTTTTAAACATAGGGCCAGGTCACAATCCCTCAAACTGTTGGAGGGCCAGATTATAATTTGAAAAAAATATGAATGAATTCCTATGCACACTGCACATATCTTATTTGTAGTGCAAAAAACACTTAAAACAATACAATAATTAAAATGAAGAACAATTTTAACAAATATAAACTTATTAGTATTTCAATGGGAAGTGTGGTGCTTTAGGCTGATGAGATAGGATTGTTGTTGTGTTTTCAAGTTGTTTCAGACTTAAGGTGACCCTGAGCGAGGGCTGGGTAAAGAACCTTGGAGGGCCGTATCCGGCCCCCAGGCCTTAGTTTGAGGATCCCTGCCTGAGAGCATTTATGCATACATTCATACTCATATGATAAATAATAGATTTAAGATGAGAAGTGAGAACTACAGCAGCATAGTGAAGTGAATTTTGGTTTGTATGCTCTCTGGAATCCAAACTCTTAGACAAGGTGATCTCTTCACCTCTCCAATTTGTTGTGTGCTTTGAATCATTTCTGATTGATGGTGATCCTAAGGCAAACCTACCACTTGATTTTCTTGACACTGTTTATTCAGAGGGAATTTGTCTTTGCCTTCCTTTAAGACTGAGAAAGTGTGATATGCCCAAAGTCTTTTACTGAGTTTCACAACCAAGTGGGGATTAAAACCTTGGTCTCCAAGGCTCAAGCCATTACACCATGCTGGCCCTTATCCAATTTACAGCGGAGGAATAGTAATATCAATATATTGGTATGCAAAATTTCAAGGATTATTGGGAGGCTGTGCATGGTTGCATAAACAGATCCTTGATAGGAAAAAAAACCTAACCAAATAATATAGAAAGACATGAAAGCATTTGGGTCGTGATCACTTTTCTCCTGAATATCTGAAGAATCCAGGAGAAAAACCTCCCAAGACACTACCAGGCTTCCTCTTAGAAATAATCAGGAAAATCAAATACTTAAGATCTGGTTTGTAATAAATTCAGTAATCTTATAGACTTGCAGCATTACCACTCTGTATTTTTGTAGAGCTGCATGTGTTAATTACTCAAAGGCTTTTTCCTTTCAATGAATTATTTCCATCATTATGTTCTGAAAATACAGGAACCTGGCTCAGACCAAATGATAGTGAACAATGAAACAATTTTGCATGCATTTTAAAAGACTGAATTTAGATTAGTTTTCAAAAAGAAAAGGTCAAGATCAGGTTAGAACAGAAGTGTGAAAACATGTCCTCAAGGTCCTATTATTATTATTATTATTATTATTATTATTATTATTAATAATAATAATAATAATAATAATAATAATAATATACTGACACAAAACCACAGTATGTCACAGCAAACGAGATCTATATGCTGGATTTCATATCACAAAATCACAACCCAAACACTTCCCAAGTATCTAGGACTGTGTGATGTATTTTCTAATGATGTGTGCACATCCAAGTAAGGTGGCCTTTGGCAGTTGACAGATTGCGATTTTGTCAATGTTTATCATTTCCAAATGCCAACTGAGATCTTTCGGCACGGCACCCAGTGTGCCAATGACCACTGGGACCACCTGTACTGGTTTATTGCCAGAGCCTTTGCAGTTCGATTTTGAGGTCCTGATAATGGATGAGTTTTTCCTGATGTTTTTCCTCAATAATAATAATAATTTACAAAGGGATAACATTTTAGGTCTAGCAGAAGCTTTCCCCCCCAACATAAAATGACTCCAAAATTGATTTCTGGGTCAATTCCCATTGAACAAAAAGTCTTTCTTGGGGCCAAAACATTCAGAGAGTCAAAAAGGAGGGAATATTGCTCATTATACCTCTGGGGACATTGTGGGGTATTTTTTCCAGTGGCAAAGGGCCTCCAATGATCTGAGTGGCCGGCGACTACTATTCTAGAAGGACTTATAATAAAGATGCTCATATACTACTACTTGGCCCAAAAGTTGTCTAGTTTGCTATTTCACTTGTCCCATAATTTCCAAATGGGACAAAATCTCGACATTCTACAGTTTGAAAACAAATGGCACACTGAATTTTATAAGAATATCAATGTTAGGCCAAGATCCCTTCATTTTTAAGACAGCAAAAATATACTTTCTTAAGTATACACACCGATGCTGGATTCTATAGTTGTACTACAGATACTGCAAGCAAGCCAAAAATGAGAGAGAAGGCTGTATGTATCCTTATAGAACTGGCTGTACAAGGATCTGTACTTAAGCTGAGAAAATATTTTTAAGCTACTGTAGTTCCCAAAGAAAATTCTTGTCACTGACTGCTGTGGCAAATAAAATAAAATAAAATAAAATAAAATAAAAATTAGTCTTGAAGATGCCACTCAATTGTATTCTTTTTTGTATTTCTTTTCTTTACAACTCTGTTAAATCATTGTAATTTTCCCACTTTGTTACAAAGAGTTTTCTAGAAGTGCAACCAGTTTTACTTCAGCGCACAGTACTAGTCTGGACCAGGATCACAATAAGGAAGGTTGAAGTGAATGAATTCTATTCTACAGCAGCCAGGAGAGATTAACATAAAGGCAGAAAAAGGTCTAAACAAATCCTCTGCTATAGATGTCAGAAGCTGAAGCACATAGTTCTGAGAGGGTTTAACTCACAGTGTTTAGGTTATAAATGAGTTTATACCAGTAGTACTTTTTGAAGACCAGTCTGAAAAGACCACTTCTCTCCTTCACATAGAATACCACTAGTTCTTTTTATTTTTATCCTTATCTTCATGATGATGATGATGATAATGTTTCTACTACTATGTTAGGCATGGAGCCAACTGATTGAAAAAAAAATGATTCCATAGTTAGAGTGAAAAAAGTTGTGACCTGATTTTGTTCACACACTGCATCTATTTATGTGAGAAGCTATTTTTGACTAACAAAGAAGTTAAATTAAACTTTTCATAAGTTTGAACTATAACTTGATTTCATGTATATTTACTTGGAAGTAAGATTGACTAAATTAATTTGGACTTTCTCCCAGGTAATCAAGCATAGGGCTGCAGCCTTGGCCTTCCAAAAAAAAAAGTGCTTTTTATAAGTTTCCAAATGTAAACTCCATTTAAATCCATCATTATGGAAAGTAAATACCGTATATCTGAAATAGACATCCAGCACATCGTGTGGTCATCTTGTTAGAGTGCTTTAACATCACATATTAGAAATATAGGGAACATGCTATCAGTAATTGGAACAATGTTAAGCAAGCAGAAAAGGATTTAATAATAATAATAAAAGAATGAATCCAAGTTATAAAGGCCCAAAATAGACAAAACATTAGGAAAATCATCACAAGACTTAAAAATGAAATGGGAATGTTAGTAATAGCTATTAGTTGCATTACCATCAGAGTTAAGGTCATTTCCTAGATTAGTATGTTGATCTTCACCATCACCAGTAACAGTGCATTCAGGAATCTTCTCATTAGTAACTATCTCAGTATTATCATTTTGATCCTCATCTGTAAAAACATGCCATAGTAAGGTTAGTGTGTGCTGCCCTGTACATTCATACATTTTAGTTAAAATATTACTGTTTCAGTCTCAGTCAAGCATGCCCATTTGTGGCACAGAAAGGAAGAAGAAAGTGAAATGCAGATACTTTTTATAGAAAAATAATACCTTTTACTAATATTCTATCAGTTTACATGTACAGTATCCACATCCTACTTGGGAATTTGTTAAGTTGTGAGCAGATGTGTTCAATTCAAATTTACTGTTCTGATCAGAGCTTGGAAAGTGACTTTTAAAAAATAATTAGATAGAGGCCAGGATACATTTGGTACTAATATTGACAGCAAAAGCTTGGTAAGAAGATTGTGGAAGAGTGCAGCCTTAACAAGCCACTCTGCTATTCACTCTCTCCCAGCCTTCTGTGTCACCTGACATTGTGCTTTGGAAATTTTTCTAGATCTCTAGACAGGGTAGTTTCAGAATTTGCCTTCAATCAATTAAATACCCAACTGGATCCTGGCCAAAGTTCCAAACATAGGACACGGTTTGAGGCACATAATGTAATTTCTCCTTCATTTAGTGTGGTCACACTCTCATAATGATGCAAGGAACTAAAAAGTTATAGTTACACTGCAAAAAGAGGGATGGATGGTATTCCTCACCAATTTACGAATGAAAAATGTAAAAAACAAACAACAAAATAGGGCCATGCTAATTAATTAATTAATTGATTGATTGATTTGCACTTACTCACCCCTAGGGTGACTCAAAGCGGTTCCCAACATAACTAATGGCAAAATTCAATGCTTTACATGTGTAAAACAACACTTATCAAAACAACATTGGCAATAGAATAAAAGCATTAAAATTATAAAACTTATTAAGTGAAAGCAGTAATTACCTGTCACTGTAACTGGTTGCAATAAAGCTCTACGTAAGCCCAATATGCATTACAATTTGTATATTAAAATGCTGGCTGGCGGGATGCATAGTTTATTCTGGCTTCAATTGGAACCTAAAGACTTTTGGGATGGCAGGTGGAAGCATTGCTCCTTTTTAAGGTTGTACAGTTTAATTCTTCTATTATTATATACTCGTCTATGTCTCAACCTAGTGTATAAGTCAAGATAGGTTTTGGGGTAAAAATTATGGCTTTTGATATGACTTGTGGATAAATCAAGGGTCATTCTGCAAAGAGAGGAAAGTGTCAATGCCGCCACAGGAAGCCAGAGAAGGGGATGATTCTTTTTTTGATCCAAGTTAAGGCACAGTATTCACTCTTCTCTAAAAAGGACCCATTCCCTTTTCTGATTAGAGTGATGAAAGCTAAGAGCTTAGTCCATCCTGGAAGTACAATAAAAGAAGCACTACCCTTCACTTCCCAGTCCAGGGACTCAAAAAAGGTAGAAGTGGAACCATGGCGGAGAAAGTAGAGGRGATTGGTGCTTCTTTTCGGTTCTCCTGGAATGGACTAAGCTCTTGCCGTTCATCACTCTACTCAGAGAAGGGAATGGTTCTTCTTATGATAAGAATTAAGATACAGTACTACTAACACTGATTAATGGATAAGTAAACTAAAAAACTTGAACTGATTTTTGGCCTAAAATTTCTTGATTTATTTATTTATTTACTGCATTTATATCCCACCCTTCTCACCCAAAGGGGACTCAGGGTGGCTTATATACGAGTATATATGGCATTTCTTGAAATACACATGTCCAATTGAACCAGACAGAACTCCAATTAGGAAAATGAATTCACAGTAAGATTAAATACTAGGAAATTCTGGGCGGGAAGGGGGGGGGGTGTAGAGAGAAAAGGTCTAAAAGCAGTTGTTGTTGTTGTTCATTCGTTCAGTCGTCTCCGACTCTTCGTGACCTCATATCAAAAGCAGTAGTCAAATTGAAAAATACTCAAAAGACCAATGCATTACCAAGCACACAACCCTCCATTATATAACACAATTTTAGTGTTTAAAAAGAAAGAGGCAGGTAGGACTATTAATTGACAGTCACATTAACTTCAAGCCTATCTGGATTGGAGCACAGAGATCTGAAAGCAAGAGACCATGTTAGATCCTAGCCCATTAAAAAGTGAGTTGGGGTAGCAAATGCCTTAGTAGCCAATTAAGTCTATCTTTAACATTATACACTGTTTGTGTAAAAGCTATTATCAAATTTCCTTCTCCGTCAGTGAAATATTCCCCTTTCTATAAAGCAGAGTCAGGTAAGTATAACCAAAGGACCACATGCAGCCCCCATAGGCCACTTTGAGCCAGGACCCACGAACCCCAAGTGTTTTGGGGTTTTCTGGGGGAAAGGGGGAAATGGTCAAAAACAGTCCCCATGCCATCCAACTCATTTCCTTTCTCAAAAGTCTTGAATTATATTAATTTCCACTCAGTGTGACAGAAATGTGACCATACCTCTTAGGGTTTTGAGTTCCTTTTTAATTTAACATTTTGGGAGGGGTGGAGATTATGGCGGAGGGTGGCCGGAGAGTTGCTGCCTTCTGAAATTCAATGGAGGGTCATTAGAACTCTGAGGTTGCCCACCCTTGTTCTAAAGCCACCCTTTTCCTGGCATTTTATTGGCTTCAATGAATTTCTTTGTCTATCTGTTCTTCACCTTTGAACTTCTTGAGAATATCTATCTTGATCTGAGCCTGGCTTTGGTGTTATTCATTCCCACCTTTTCTATCTGAAAGGATTCTTGACTTCATTCTCTCACAGAATATGCATTATCACTACTTAAGCTCCCAAATTCTTGCCATTTACTCTTGTTCTCTACACTTGCCTGAAGAGACAGAGAACGAAAAGATACAGCAAGGGGGGGTGGCACTCATATTGGGAGGGGGGAGGGAGAGAGACTTCTCTCTATCTCTTTTTAAAATGGGGCTGTCATGTGAATAAAACATGGAGGCCACTGCCGTATCTGGTCAGATTCTCATTCTCAGTTGAGAGCAGTAATCAAAAGACTTTGCTGGAGAAAACATTCCTTTTAAATTTGGTATGGGCACCAATGGACAAGGAAGAGAGGAAAAGAAGGAGATGGAAGACTAAAAGAATCCTGATGGACCATGTGCTTGGCATATGAAATGAATGCTAGTGATAATTAGAAAATACACTGGATAGCTGAGGAATGCAAAACACTGCTGAAGTTCACTGAAGTAGATGTAAAAAAAGCTGTAAGAGACAGATAACACTGCTCTTATGGACTAAATAGAACACTCCTTTGAAATAGCTCCAACTCTATTATACAAGCTTTTATTTAAGTAGTTTTCTTCTTTCCTGGTAAGACATGTTTGTCTGGCATACTATAGCTTAGGTGAATTGACATTTTCAGGTTTATGCAGTAGCCTGGCAAGGAAAGTGAGTATCTAGGGTCTAGAGAGTGTAGGTCCTTGGATTCCTTATTTCGGAGAGTTAGCTAGTCTACTATAGTGATTTAAATGTTAAGATAAGCCAGAGGAAAGAATGCCAAAATACCATATCTGAAGCCAAAAAGAAAAAGAAGCTTCAGTGGATCATAGATGAAATTCTTCAAACACTTAAGGACAAATGAGAAGCAAAAGGAAAAGGTGACAGAGATAGGATCAGAGTCCTGAATTCAACGGTTCAGTGAATTCAACTATTCAGTGTCTTCAAGTAGAAAGAACTACTATAATGATCATTGCAGAGAAAGAGAAGTTGACAAGAAAAAGGGAACAAGAGACCTCTTTTACAAGTTCTGAGAAATCAAAGGGAAATTTAAGCCAAAAGTGAGGGTGCTCTATGATCAGATGATGGAAACAATACACTAAATAACTATATAAAAGAAAGCATTTTTCTTCCTTACTTTAAAGCAGAGGTAGGTAAACTTACAATTTCAGAAGTTGAACCTATCCACAGAATACTTGGGAGAAATAAATCACCAAGAACGTATCAATGCAGCTGCTTCAGGCTATAGAGACAAAATCTACTCTAGTTCTAACTAGAAGCTTTCAACAAATATGGAAAACAAAACAAAGGGCCACTGATAGGTTACACTCTATATGTGTTCCAATACCCAAGAAAGGGGACACCAAGGATTGCAAGTAACCACAGAACAATTGTACTAATCTCTTATGCAAGAAAACTGATGCTCAAAAATTTATAACAAATTTTATAACATATATAGAGTGAAAATGCCAGAAGTTCAAACTAGATTCAGAAAAGGAAGAATCTGAGGAGAAAATCTGCTTTATAGCAGACAATAAAGCCTCTGATTGTGTATATCACAGAAAGTAATGGCTTTTTCTTAAAGAAATGCATGTGCCACACATTTATTTTCACTATATTGATACACAAGGACAAGAAGCTACTGTTAGGACAGAATATAGAGGAACAGAATCAATTTAATTATCAAGGTCGTCAGGAAATGCTTCATTTTATCATTCTCTTTTAACTTATACATCCTTCTCTCATTCATAGGGTTGACTTGATGACAGTTAACAAAGTGATACAGCACATGCACATATTGGCCACTTCAGTTAAAAACATAATCATTACCCAGCTAGTGATATGCCACTGAAACGTAATTTTATTCTTGTTTTTATTTTGTCTTTGGAAATATATTTTGTTGAGTAAGATACTGTATATACTCGAGTATAAGCCTACTTTTTCAGCTCTTTTTTTAGGCTGAAAAAGCTCCCTCGGCTTATACTCGAGTCAAGGTTATTTATTATTTTACTCTGTTATTAGTATTATTTTTATTTCATGTATTATTTTACTCTTTATTATTATTACATTTACAGTATTTTACCCTATTATTATTACATTTATTATTTTACACTATTTATGATTATTATTACATTTATTATTTTACTCTATTATTACATTTATTATTATTATTATTATATTTATTATTTTACTCTCTTTATTATTGTTGGAAGGATACATAAGTACATTTACATTGAACAAGGTTAGAATAATTATTTAATCAGAGTTGGCCAGTCTTATCTCAAATTACAGTTTTATGTAAATATTCAA